TTTTTTTTACTATTTGGTTAGTTATTTGAAAATTATTTTGTTCGTTTTCCATTTTTATTTTTATATTTTTAATTAGTTTTAAATGTTAACACATGTCCTCTGACAAGTGTCACATGTCACGATTTGGTGAGTTATAATTTTGCTTACGTGTCGCGTTCTGATCGCATCCACTTTTATACCGAAAAAATAAAATTTGGACCACCTCAGCTATGGCTAAATAGTGAGGCTCTAGTGATGTTTGCTCCTTTCATGTTACTAAAGCTTTACTTAAGAGAACGTAAAAAAAATTATGTTACCAAAAATTAATGGAGAATCTTAACTGATGTCATTATAGATTTTTTTTGCTACCGAATTTTTTTCTGACTGTTTTAATAAATGTTTCGTATTCAAATCTAGACTTGGTCCAATATGAAAAAAATGTAGTTAGTATGCAAATATAAATGCCGACTTGGTTGGTCATGAAACCCATTTCAGGTAAGAAAATACAATGTTTTTAGAAGGTATTTGGTCTATTATAGACATACGACTTGGCGAACCACAAGTAGGAGGCTAAACCAATGGAGCTAAGACACGCGAGTAGCCAGTAGAAGTAATCTAGATGAGCTTTGTTCAGGTCATTATCAAACCAGCTCCTTTGATCAGATTGGCTCGTGACTTTGTCGATAACTGATATCATGAAGCTGCTTAGAAAGTTTCCGGCCCCGTATATGCTTAGATTCAAAGCCATACCAATGCTCCTAAGCTCACTAGGGACTTGATCGTAGAAGAATTCATTTAAACCAATCGCGGTGAACACGTCTGAGACACCGTAGATAACATACTGTGGAACTAACCACCATACGCTCATTGCTATGGTGATGTCATCCCGAGCGGTTTGGAGCCTTTTGGTCTCAACCAAGGCGGCTATTACGATAGCAAGAATGGAGAGAAACATACCTGTTCCAATCCTTTGAAGCAATGTGATTCCTGAAGGGTTTTGAGTGAAAGATCTTGCGATTGGGACGAGTAGACGGTCATAGATTGGGATGAAAACAACCATTGTTAGGCTTATGACGCATTGGAGCGTAGCTGCAGGGACTACGACTCTTGGTGAGATTGACCTGTCCATTGCGGATCCTTGTTTTGTGAAGAAAGTAGAGGATTGTGAATATACAATGGCATAAACTAAGCAAGTCATCCATATGGGCACAATCTTAAGCACTGCTTTTGCTTCTTCAATTTCAGCCAAATCACACGAAATCGCCGCTCTGTCAAGGAATCTGCCATAGCATCCAAGAGAAATCGTCAACAAATGACTTCCGTTTCAAAACCAATTGATATACATCCAACCAGATGGAAGAACCAAGATGGTGTAAGCACAAGTGTGGCCTAAAGGACTCTAAAGAAGAGAAACGATAATTATGCTTACCTAAATTGCTTGGAACTCTGGTGAGCTTGGAGAAGAAGTTTCTCGTTGGGGTTATATATATCGAAATCTGGTTGTTTTGTGTTCTTTACGGCTTCRATGAAAACACGGCCGATTCTAGCAAAAGGGTTTTTGTTTCTTCCTCTTCTAGTGCTGAAACGATAAGTCTTAGTTCCAAGGAGGAACAAAAGCAGAGCAAGTAGCATTGATACACTTGGGATACCAAATCCTAAGGACCAACTTAGATTCTCTTGAATGTAGCTACAGACCAAACGTGTTGTCAAAATGCTAAGACAGCTTCCAAACATGACCCAGTTGAAGAAAGAACTCTTGTCTTTCGATTCTTTTAGATCATTTCCATCGAATTGATCAGCTCCAAATACCTTAATACAAGGTTTGTAACCACCTTGTCCTATTGCTATAAGATACAGAGAGACGAAGAAGAGAGTCACTTGAAGTTGATTCGGGTCGTCGTAGTAAGAAGGAATCATGGCTGAAAATGACAACAACCCAAGCCCCAATATATAGAGAAAAGATGTGATAAGGATGGTACGAAAACGGCCTAGACACGAGTCAGCAATGAAGCCCCAGAGAAGTGGCAAAAACGACACCGTTCCACTCCAAGCGTTGACGTTGGCCGCAGCCGCAGCCGTTGACTCTCCCAATGGTCCGGTCAAGTACGTTATCAGGTTGGATGATATCCCGAAAGACGCGAACTGCTCCGCCATTTCGGCATCTAAATAACAAACAAACAAACAAACATTCTGAGAATTGACAAAGCTTATTATTTGGTGAGAATGAGGAAGTGGACTTACAAACGATGATCCTCGCTGATTTCCATCCTCCAGAAGAGAATCTAACGGCTGGCTTGCCTTTGTAATCCATGGAACACTCGATGGTGCTCGGAGGAAGAGTACTTCCGAGATCATCTCCGGCGATCGCCATTGGCTTTTTACTGGTTTTATCTTAAAGAAATGTTGTATCCTTCTTGTTTAATGTTTTTGTATGGGCCAAGGTGCCATGGTGCTTTTGTTTTCTTGATTTTAAATTATTATAAAGTGGCTGGAGTAGGTGTGCTCTGATCATTATATTCGTCGAGCACAATGGATTAGATAAATTTATCTTTGAACATGTAGTTTTGATCAAAATTATTTAAAATAATCTGATAAGTTGTATTGATTTTTTTTTTTATAATTTATTTGTGTATAATAGATGAAAACCAATCCATAAAAAAGAAGATTAAAAAAAGCTTTATTTTGTAAGGAAAACTTTAGATTTTTTAAGATTTCGAAAATCCTATCATAAATGCAATGTCACATACAATATGATGTTAATCTAAATAAAAGTAACTACAATACTATTTAGAGAACTATATATTACATGTCTTTTGAATTTTGAAATGATTATAAAGTTATTTTGTAAAAAAAAATAAAAAATTCATTTTTAGAGAGTAGTTGAGCATTATCTA